CAGATCTCCATTTTCATATAAAAATATTGGTGATGAATTTATCCAGGCTTTAAAACCTTACATATTATTATATTTTAATTTATTCACACATGGGTTTGAGGAGGCAGTTTCAAGTTGGTATAAGGTGATAGAGAGAAGTAGAAAGACGATATTCGAAATTAGATAGGGAAAAGAGATCATATATATATATATATATTAGATAGGGGAAAGATATATATATATATATATATATATATATATATATATATATATATATATATATATATATAATGGACTCTCCCTTCGGTTTCGACGTATGAAGATCTGACAATTTAACGAATTGATTCAGTTATGAAATTTTCTGCGATAATCTTAAGTGGCACTTAAGACCCGCTAGTGATTTACAAAGGAGGCCGCATATGGAGCAAGAGTGGGGATTGTGAGATGAGATCACTGTTAGATTGGCTGACCGTTTAGATCTTGCTCTCGCTTTTTGGGGACGATTCAGACAAGCAAATTGAAAACTCCTGAGTCCACTAAAACACGTTGATCTCCACTCTAACCGCTTCAAGGCTAAGCGCTTGAATGTGTGATGAGGTATATTGACAGCTGACAAGTATATATATATATATATATATATATATATATAAAGACAGATTTGGTTGAATAATTGAGACATATCATGTCGATTTGTTTTGATTGTGATCGTTTCTAGCTCACGGATCTCATTTATTGAAAAATACCAAAATGTTCTTTCAAATATTTTTTTATTTTCTCGAGTACTTTCAGTCTCACCTGAGACCGTCTTCAGGGGTTAAATTGTCTGTGAATGCGTTTATTTATTTCTATAAGTTCAAAACATTTTGAAATTTTGAAATCTAGAACGCTGCATATCGCCGTAAATAGAAGAGTTGAAACGAAGCTTACTATGATCTACAAAGGGCAGGAAGTTGGGGAAAGCCATGATTGCTTGTATAAATGGATGGGTGAAAATAGACTTGCATGGATAACAAAAAGACAAACCTTACTAAAATCTACAAACTACAGGAAGTTGAGGAAAGCCATGATTGCTTGTGCAAATGGATGGCAAAACAAGGACTGGGTTAGATAATGAAAATCAAACCTTACGGAGATCTACAAATGATAGAAAGTTGGGGAGAGCTATGGTTGCTTGTATAAATGAATGACATAACAGACAGGGATAGATAACAAAAAGACAAATCATACTAAAATCTATAAAAGACAGGAAGTTGGGGAGAGCCATGACTGTTTGTGTGAATGGATAGCAGAAGAAAGTCTGAGATAGATAATGAAAGTCAAAACTTACGTAAATATACAAATGATAGGAAGTTGGGGAGAGCCATGATTGTTTATATAAATGGATGGCAGAACATAGACAGGGTTACATAACAAAAAGACAAACCATACTGAAATCTATAAAGGACAGGAAGTTGGGGAGAGCCATGATTGCTTGTATAAATGGATAGCAGAACAAGGACTGATATAATGAAAGTCAAACCTTACGTAGATCTACAAATGGTAGGAAGTTGGGGAGAGCCATGATTGTTTATATAAATGGATAGCAAAACATAGATTGCGATAGATAACAAAAAGACAAACCATACTAACAACTATAAAGGACAGGAAGTTGGGGAGAGCCATGATTCCTTTTGTAAATGGATAGCAGGACAAGGACTGGGATGGATAATGAAAGTCAAACCTTACGGGGATCTACAAATTATAGGAAGTTGGGGAGAGCCATGATTGTTTATATAAATGGATGGCAGAACATAGGGATAGATAACAAAAAAAACAAACCATACTAAAATCTATAAGGGACAAGAAGCTGGGGAGAGCCATGATTGCTTGCGTAAATGGATAGCAGAACAGGGACTAGGGCGATACAACTTTTTATTAAGTTTTGGGCCTTTTTTCAACATACTATGCTGTTTTTTCATCGCAAAAGATGCGGTGACACATGCAAAACACGCTTTGTCTCTTTCGATTCGTGACTGACGAGGCAGAAAATATTCTCAGTGTAGGTTGCCATTTCTTTCTATGGTAGATTGGTTGCCAAGCAAGGCACTGTCAGTTCTGCTATTCAGCTCGTAGCTGGTGCAGGGCAGAGATGAATTCATGCCTTTCACAAGGGTATTTGCATATAAGTGACTGTAACAAACCTGACTAGAATTTGAACTCGTCTCTCTGATTTTCCATTACAACACAACGCACATACATTATCAATAACCTGTGAAAAGGTTGATAAGCCGTAAAAACGAAAATGATCCATGACTCAGATTCTGAACACTTAAATCAAGCAGGTACAGGCATTTAAATATCTACGAAGTGTTCTAATAGAGGAGGGTAAGTGCAACACTGGCATCTGAAGACGTATTCGGATGGCCAAAGTTGCATTCCAAAACCTAAGCAGAGTATTAAGAGACAGGAAAATTTTACTAGAAACAAAGAAAACAGAACTGAACTACTAAGTGACATTTGTCCTCCTGTATAGTAGCGAATGCTGGACAATCTCTTCAAAGATGAAGAAAAGACTCGAAGCAACAGAAATGTGGTTCTACAGAAGGATGCTAAGGATACCATGGGCCGAACATGTGAGTAACAACAATTTTTTGGAGAGAAGGAAAACAAAGAGGAAACTTATGCTTAACATCAGGAAGAAGCAGCTGAAATTTCTGGGACACGTAATGAGGAAGGTGGGCTTGGAAAATTTGATACTCACAGGACGGATAGAGGGAAAGTTGGACTGGGATAAGCAACGCGTAATAAACTTAATAGGTTTAAGCAAATGGATGGCAGAACAGGGTTTGGGAAAAATAACAAAAAAGACAAAACTTATTAAGAGCAACAAGGGACAGGAAGATGTGGAGAGCCATGATTGCCTACATCAATGTATTTCTCCTCTTCATATAAATTTCAAATTCTGAGTGCTGTTAAATGTATGATATTTATGAACCTTTTGTTTCGTATTGAATAATTACGGCATTGAATGAGGGCTAGGAGAATCTGATACTCACAAGACAGATTGAAGGAAAGAGGAAAAACAGCGCGTCACTTGATGAGCTTGAGCAAATGGATGGTAGAATAGGGTTTGGCAGAAATAACAAAAAGATAAAACTTATTAAGAGCTACAAGAGACAGGAAAATGTGGAGAGCCATGATCGCCAACATCTTAAAAGGACACGGCACATAAAATGAGAAAAATATATATAAAAAAATAAATATTTACTCTTTCTAAACGATAAAAAACAATCAGTTTACGCAAAGCCTTATCTTATAAAGACCATTTTGGTTTTTTAAGTCTCATCAGGTTATCGTAGGTTATTTAAAGCCAGGAAATTGTAGGTTATTGCAGGTTATTTAAAGCCAGGAAATCTTTTAGATCAGAAGAGTATTGTCTCTTATTCATGAGGTATTGGCAGGAGTCGTTAAACACTTCCTTCTTTTTTAATTCATTTTCTCACTGAAACTAAGTAGAGCTCCTGATATGTCTTTTCACGTGATCAAAACGAATAGTCTATTATTAATGACTAGCAGCCATACCCAACTGGTCGATCAAAAAAAAGCGTTCAATTAGAATGGAGCAAAAACAACATCATGTTTCCATGTAACAGAGTCTATCTTCAATTACTTTAAAATACTTCCATAAAAAAAAACATTTTTGATTAATGCAGTTACTGATATAACAGAAGTAGTATATTTTTCAATCGAAATTAGCTGAAGACATGAAAGGGTAAAACAGGCAACATAAAGACCCACTTCAGACCACAATTATTTTGCAGTTTTTGAAATTCAATTTGTCAGCGTGCTACTAGGGATGTAAAAGAAGATACATTTATAAAGCAATTGTTAAGTTTGATGAAAATTGGTTGAAATAAGAAAGAAACCAGTAAAAATCGCCATTTTTCACTATTTACGCAGGTTTTCACTATATGGGTGGACTCAGTTATCAAGTTAAATGAATGTTAAACAATCAACTTATTGTTGGCTACAATTGAGTGAAGTTTGTATTAGATTGCTTGAAAACTGAGGGAGTTTTTTGTTTAAAATTTGTGCTGAAATCGATTTTTTGTTTTCTCCGTTTTTCGCTAAACGCGGTGGCGAAGAAATAAAAATGAGGTATCCTTGATCTCGACATGATGACGGTAACCTACATACCGAGTTTCAACGAAATCTGAGGAAAAAAGTTGAATTTATCGATTTTGAATCGGCTTTTTCGATTATTGATATTTTACGCTAAGAACCTATCTCTTATATTGTACAATGCATGTGCAAAGTTTGGTCAAAATCGGTTGGATGGATCTCGAACGAAAAGGTATCACACACACAGACAGACAGACATCCTCTGTTGTATAGAAAGGGTGTTCCAATAACTTGGATCGATTTTAAATGTGAATTAAGCTTAAGCATCTAATGATTTTTCTTTTTCTTTGGCGGACATTTGGGCGATATTATTTTTCACGCATAATTGCCATGACTTAAATAACATGATCCATTAGAGAAATAAATAAATTTTCACCCATAACATTTACTGCTGATTTTGATCCGTCTTAATGAAACACCCTTTATATAGATTGTATTGGCAGGGCGTAACGGACGGGTTAACTAAGGAGTTAAGGGAGGGGAAAAGCATACTTATAAGAAGATACTTGCTGCAAGTGAAATCATAGAGGAAAGTTTTCATTAGAAGTGTTCATCTTGTTTCAACCCAAACCAGAAGCCTGACAACATGCGCTCACAAATTCGCATCCGATGACCGACTTCTTAGCAATGGAGATTTATTTTCAAAACGGTTTTTGGAGCACATGTGCGATAAAAAGGAAATAGTTAATGGAAGATTTATAAAAGAGGAACAAAGCGTTAACTGAATCATTGATATTTTAAGCGCACTGGTTTCCTTAATATACTTCGTTCTGTTTCGGCAATCACATACAAAACTTAAATAGCCATTATCAATTGAATAGGCTCTCATCTGCAATATTTCTTAATCTGCGGCTGTATTTTTAGTTCCCAAGATGTAAATATTTATATAAGTGGAAAAATAATTGTTTAGATATTTTGCAACTGCAGGGAAATGATGAACGTTTGTACTTGAATGAGAGAGTGAGAGAGAGAGAGAGAGAGAGAGAGAGAGAGGGTAGAAAAAGAGAAGCAGAAAGTTTGGGAACTTGCGTGTATATATGTGGGAGTGTATGTGTGTGGGAGAAGAGAAAAGAAAGAGGCTGGTAAAGAAAAAGAGAATAAATAAGTAAAAGCAAGGTTGGGAAATTCACTGTGTGTGTGTGTGTGTGTGTGTGTGTGTGTGTGTGTGTGTGTGTGTGTGTGTGAGAGAGAGAGATAGAGATAAAGAGAGAGGTAGGTAAAGAAAAGGAGAAGAAGAAGGAGCAAGGTTTGGAACTTGTGTGTGGGGGGTGAGAGATAGAGATAAAGAGAGAGGTAGGTAAATAAAAGAAGAAGGAGGAGCAAGGGTGGGAACTTGTGTGTGTGTGTGAGAGAGAGGGAGAGAGAGAAAGAGAGAGGTAGGTAAAGAAAAAAAAAAGAAAGAGCAAGGTTGGGAACTTGTGTGTCTGTGTGAGAGAGAGAGAAAGAGAGAGTTAGGTAAAGAAAAGAAGAAGAAGAAGGAGCAAGGTTGGGAACTTGTGTGTGTGTTTGAGAGAGAGAGAGAGAGAAAGAGAGAGAGAGGTAGGTAAAGAAAAAGAAAAAGAGAAGAAGAAAGAGCAAGGTTGGGAAATTGTGTGTGTGTGTTTGAGAGAGAGAGAGAGAGAAAGAGAGAGGTAGGTAAAGAAAAAGAGAAAGAGAAGATGAAAGAGCAAGGTTGGGAACTTGTGTGTGTGTGTGAGAGAGAGAGAGAGAGAGAGAGAGAGAGGTAGGTAAAGAAAAGAATAAGAAGAAAGAGCGATGTTGGGAACTTGTGTGCGTGTGTGTGAGAGAGAGAGAGAGAGAGAGAGAGAGGTATGTAAAGAAAAAGAAAAAGAGAAGAAGAAAGAGCAAGGTTGGGAACTTGTGCGTGTGTGTGTGTGAGCGAGAGAGACAAAGAGAAAGAGAAAAAGAGATTAGATGGGAGAGAAAAGTGAAAGAGAAGAAGAAATAGCAAGGTTGGTGACTTGTGTGTGTGTGTGTGTGTGTGTGTGTGTGTGTGTACGAGAGAGAGAAAGGAAAAATGAATCGGAAAAATGTGTGTGAGTTAGAGCGAGGGAGGGAGGGACGAGGGAGGGATGGAGGGAGGGAGAAAGAATGCTTTTTATGTCTGCTAGAGTGAGAAGACAAGAGAAAGAAAGAGACAAAAAATAGAGGCACGAGTTCGTATAAAAGAAAGAGAGAGAACAAGGTTGTGTATTTGACTGTGTGTGTGAAAGAGAGAAAAAGAGGGAGATGGCTATGTGTTTGAAAGAGGGGGAGAAAAAAGTATAGGCCTATGTGTGTATAAGAGAGTGATATAAAGATATAAAAAGAATATAGGCATGTGTGTGTGTGCGTGTAAGAGACAGCGAATTGATTGTTACGGTTTGTCAACCTCTTGTGGCTTATGAAAGCTAAAACTTTGCCTGAAAGAGAGCGGGAAAGAAAAGAAAGGGTATAGGCATATGTGTGTACGAGACAGATAGATAAAGAGATACAAAGGGCATAGGCATGTGTGTGTGTGTGTGTGTGTGTGTAAGAGAGACCGAATTGATTTTTACGGTTTATGAAGCCATTGTGGCTTATTTAAAATCGGATCTTAGTTGGATTAAAAAAAATAATTATCTTTTTTTATTGTGAGTGAGCATTGCATTAACAATGATTTCTCCCAATATAAGTCCAACTATTTAACCCATAGACGTGGGGAGAAGATATCGGTTCATATCTTTTCCAAGGGCATTTGCGCATAACTGTATGCAACGAACTTGACTGGAATTCGAACTCGACTCCTTCTGATTTGTCCTTCCGAACCGCTATCCACCACATCCGTAAGAATAAAAAAAAAACAGCATAGTTATGTGTGTGTGTGTGTGTGTGGGAGAGAGAGAGAGAGAGAGAGAGAGAGATAAGTATATAGAGAGAACAAGAGAGAGAGAAAGAAAGAGGAAATGATATAAAGAACCATTAAGTTTGTGTATATATGTGCAAGTAAGGGAGAATGAGCAAAGGCATGCTTTTGTGTGTAAGGGTGGGGGTGGAGAAAGGGAAAGAAAAAGAGAGAGGAAGAGAGAGAGAAAGAAAAAGAGAGAGAGAAAGAAAGAGAGAGAGAGAAACAGAGAAAAAGAGACAGGGAGAAAAAGAAAGAACAGCGAGAATGATTGGGAATGAGAGTGTGTGTGAGAAAGAGAGACCGAGAAAAAGAATAGTTGAAATGCGAGTGTGCGCGTGCGCGTGCGCGTGCGTGTGTGTGTATATGTGCGTGTGCATGGTCTGAGAGAGAGAGAGAAAGAGAAAGAGAAAGAGAAAGACAGAGAGAGAGAGGAAGAAAGATAACGAAAGATATTTATATATAGAGAGAGAGCAGGAATGATTGAGAATTCGTGTGTGTGAGAAAGAGACAGGATGAGAGAGAGAGAGAATGGTTGGGAATGTGAGTGTGTGTGAGAGAGAGAGAGGGGGAAACAAAGAAAGAGCGAGAGGGAGAAAGAGAAAGAAAGATATATATATAGAGAGAGGGCAAGAAAGATAATTATTGGGAATGCGAGTGTGTGTGTGAGAGAGAGAGAGAGAGAATAGTGTGTGAGAAAGAAAGAGAGAGAGAGGGCGGGAGAAACAGAATAGTTGAAATGCGAATGTGTGCGTGTGTGTGAGGGAAAGAGAGAGAGAAAGAGAGAACAAGAAAGAGAATGGTTGAGAATGCGAGTGTGAGACAGAGAGAGGGGGGAAGAGATATCGAGAGATGGACAAAGAAAGAGAGAGAACAAGAAAGCGAATGGTTGGGAATGTGTATATGTATGTGTGTGTTTATGTGTGTGTGTTTTGAGAGAGAGAGAGAGAGAGAGAGAGATCAAGGATAAACGGTTGGACGAAACATTTAAAAATGTTATTGATTGGAACAGCTGAACACTAATTCCAAATCAATATTTAATCCCATGACATATCACGTATTACCTATAGCACTGTGTATCCATATATCACATGAAGAACAGTGCAATTTTACTCATTATGACTACGTACCAAGCTTAGGCCAGTCTGGTACAAGGTAACTAATGTGGAGTTCTAAGTGAAGATCAGACTGAATACATTAGTCATAATCCACAAGATGAGCAAACCTTGCTCAATGAAGGTTTTCCAATATAAGTATTTATTGATCACTAACAAAAGAGAGAAGTAGAAGTTCTATCAGGATTTATTATCGGTCGGGTCGCGGAGTAAACTTGACAACATACGCAACTGATACCGTGTTGATGACAGACATAGATAAAAACTACAGGAAATCTATGACAATATAGCCAGGGGAGCAAGAAGTAAAAAATGATCATCAACATGAAGATACAAATATTTAGGTATTGGTTGTTTTTTCTTTAGCGGAAGATCAACACCGCTATGCGTTATTTAATACCGGAATCTAAATCTTTTGTACGCAGTTTTATGGCTTCAACTTAACACAAACACACACAAAAAATCTTTGAGCATACAAGATGATGTAATGAATAAGCATACACCTGGATTCCCCCGCATAGTAATATGATTGGCTGGTGTCAGCCATAAATACAAACTGATGTGGCGGTACAGTGAAGACGCCTGTAGTCTCCGCCTATTGCCAACGCCTATTGCCTACCACTACGACGAGGACCAGTCCATTACAGTTACCTGCTAGATTGTTCTACTCGGTTAGAGTAGTCCAAAACCACTTTGCAACTTCGAACAAATATATCCCTTTCCGGGACATATCACAAGAAAACAATGCCGAAAAACTTTTTGCCGTTACTAAAAAAAAAAAAAAAACAGACGACATGCATATAACGGATGCCAGAATTCGTTGAAAAATAAACCTCTACCCTCCCTAAACTTAACCTCTTTTTCGAATATAATTGATACAACAATAGCTAATAAAAACGAACACCCTATCGCCCCTGTCTAAATGATTGGATTTCTCTGTATCCTTGGAAACAGTAAATTATGAATTTAGTTGTCTGTTTAAAACTCAGTAAATTTAAAAATAAGTTATTCCAATATTTGCTTGAGGATGAAACGGAATTAATGCTTTTAATTTAATTATATAATTAAATTTAAAGTTTTTAGCTTACATTTTTGAAACGTGTTTATTATTGTGTAGCGAAAAATCCATATTTTAAATCAGTTAATTTATAATATTTATGCTCTGTAAATTTACATTGAGCACTATTTTGTAAAAATGAAAATAAAAAACAACAAGAACACCGGATTATATATCTTACTATTCTTTATATATATATATATATATATATATATATATATATATATATATATATATATATATATATGTATTCATTTCATTTTCATTTCATTTTTGGAAATGTTATCTGATGATCCAGCGTTCCTTAAAAGGGCTCTGGTGAAATAAATTATTATAATGGAACGTTAAAGTGGCCTGTTTTTCTTTAAATATATATATATATATATATATATATATATATATATATATATATATATATATATATATACAAAGGGTGTTCCAGAAGTCTTGGGAACATTTTAAGTCTTCATATCTGCTGAACTATGAATGGTAGTAAGATGAAACTGGTACCATTTTAAAGCTATTTAAAGCATTTTAAAGAGTTTTTTGTAATGCTAATGATTTTTTTAAATATTTTTTCAGATACAATAATGGCGTTCACTCAACCAGAAAAAGCGTTTTGTGTCCTTGAATTTTCTTGAACTGAATTATGGACATTTGTTCAACGTGCATTTCGCCCAAAATTGCGAAAAGAAGCACCATAAAGGAAGTCTATATTGAGATGGCATGGTAAATTCGTTAAGTTATGGTTGTTTGCGCTCAGCTAAGAGAACGGGACGTCCCTCATCTTCAGATGATACGTTTGAGTGAGTACGAACTGCCTTCGAGCGGAGCCACCGTAAATCGATCAGAAGAGCCAGTAAGGAACTTCAGCTTCCTACAACAACTGTTTGGCGTGTCTAAAAAAGACAACTGCGCATGACACCTTACAAGCTACCGTTAACCTCACAGTTGCCGGACACTGATAAACCAGCTCGTCGTGACTTTTGCATTGCAATGCAAGAGAAGTTGGAAGATGACGGATTTGATGCGTGCCGTGTGATCAACGGTGCCTACATTGAACATCTTTGAAAATTCCATGGAAAACTTGATTAAATTCTTTCAGAACATGCCAGGCGCGTTTTTATATCCTTATTAGTTTTCGAGATATTCAATGTCAAAGACTTTTGGAACACCCTATATATATATATATATATATATATATATATATATATATATATATAGATGCATGTTTCATTAAATAATATAGACAAGTTTTGTCTATTTATTTTAAGTAAGTTCCTTTCATATTGTCTGATAAGCTTAATAACATTATCATTGAAGGACGAAAGGAAATCACCATATTGATACATGTTTAAATCCAATCCAAGCTTTCGGCTTACATAAGCCATTATCAAAGATGACAATTACTTTTCAATATATCAACCAATACACGGACGAAACAATTCTGTTTTTGTTGCATGAAAAATTTCAAAGCAACGACTAGCTGGTGTTTACGAGACGCGAAAGCGAAAATCGCATCACAGCTCGTAAGGTCACACATGACCATGCGAGAGTGAAAACGAGAAGTATTAAGTATGGGAAATACACGCACACACACACACACATATATATATATATATATCATAATTAAGTAATTCATCGAGTCTAGAAGAAACCTCAATAGAATTCAGAAAGCACTATTTCGTCCTATATTTTGGACTAATCAGCAGAATTGAAACTTGAACAGTTACGATAGGAGGCAAACGCCATGCCAACTGTACCAACGGGCCTCGGTAACGAAGAGGTAGCGAATTAGACTCGATATAGCGCTCCTCGATCACATATTCCGTGGTGGAATTCTCTTTACCCATAGGTCTGTGCCCCAGAGAGCTACGATTAGTCTCCCCAATCCGCTCAGTCCAGAGCATTAGAAGCCGCTTAAAGCAAGGATATACAGATAGTCCGAGGCCCGTTTGTACAGTTGGTATGACGTTTTGCCAGATAACGTAACTGTCGGGGTTTCAATTCTCGGTAGTGGATGCACACTGCTGGTGAGTCCCAAATATAGGACGAAACGGCCGTCTAGTGCTTTCTGCATTCTGTTGAGGTTTCTTCTAGACTTGATGAATTACTTAATTATAATTATTTCAAATCCCCTTATTATATATATATATATATATATATATATATATATATATATATATATATATATATATATTAATTGGTAATCCGTATGGATAATTCCAGGGAGTATATAACTCCCGAGAGCGCAATGTAATAAAAGAAATAAAATATTACCATGGCTTCCTCAACTCTCAGATTTCTTATTCTCTCTCTCTATATTTATATATATATATATATATATATATATATATATATATATATATATATATATATATATACTATGATAGCCTCTATTCGAGGATACCCGTCTACTAGGGTCGCTAGTCAATCCCTATTGCAGATGATCGCTCAGGCACATTGAGCAGACCTTAGTTACACAGAGCGTGTTGTCTAGAATGATGAACAATTTGAACAAGGCCAGCGCGCTCAAGCCCTCGGCCACGATGACTTGCGGCTTTGTTCTAGCACAGCTATCGACGGTCCCCAAGGTTTCCGTTTACCCACTTTCATTTTTTGGGGTCTTGCGTATTTATAAGTCTAAAATCCTTCCTTCCTTTGAAGATTATTGCTGCGTTTGGCCTGGTGCTCTTGCTATATATTTAGAGATTCTTTCTAAAATCCTATGAAGAAGCTGCAATGCTATTAGTCCTGACCCGTCATCTCGTCTTCAGTCGCATTCCCACCGCCATAACGCCATGAAAAACTGCAGCTCTCAGTCTTCAAGACCTACAAACAAAATCACAATGCTTGTAGGACTTGAAGACTAAGAGCTGCTTTTTTAGAACTCTCATGAAATTAAAAATATTACCTTTGGGATTTTAAGTGTTTGGTATTCTTTAATTAACAATAATTTTGCTCTGTCTTTTGACATAGAGCTCTCCCTGGATCTATATTCTCCTATAATTCTATACGGATTACCATGTTGTATCATTACTATATATATATATATATATATATATATGTATGTGTGTGTGTGTGTGTGTGTGTGTGTGTGTGAGTGTGAGTTTTGTGTATTTGTACGTATAAGTGGAGACTGAGGCCAACACCACACGGTGATAGTAAGTTTCATGCTTCAAAGCAATCGATTGCGTTTATGCAGAAACCGACTGTCACTTCTGTGCGTTGATCCCAATGTCCACTTTTGTATTTACTTACATTCTAACCCGGTTATTAAGCACTTTAACTCATGGAGATAGCATACATTAAAGCTATATTGTTCTCCCTCTCTCAGTTTTACACACACACACACACACACACACATATATATATATATATATATATATATATATATATGTGTGTGTGTGTGTGTGTGTGTGTGTGTGTGTTGTGTGTGTGTGTGAAAATATATAGAAAATAGGAAGGAACTGATTAGGTAAATAATCCAAAGTCCCTTAGTATTTTAGTTATTATTTTTAAAAATAGTGCTCGATACAAAAGTAGAGCATAAATATAATTATTTATTTAAAATATGATTCCAACTCGCGACATAAGAAGTCTCATGTTTCAAAACAAGAGCTTACTTTAACTCAATTTAATTTAAATAATTATATTGAAGTTTTTGGGCTCTTGTTTCGAAACATGAGACTTCTTATGTCGCGTTTTGGAATTATATCTTTAAATAAATAATTATATATATATATATATATATATATATATATATATATATATATATATATATATATAGTGGAAAGAAAGCTCAATATCAGTGATAAAGCTAACATAATAAGATGTATAGATAAGAGTTGATGACCATGAGTTTCACGCTTTTGCAGTCATCAAACTTGTTTATTTTCTAAAATTCGATCTATTCATGTTTGCTTGACTATGTTTGGTTGAGGGAAGGGGATATACTTTGTTTGTTTGGGGGGGTGACATTATCATACGCATAGACACATACATACAGGTGTATGTATTTTAATTTATACCAACACATCCATATAAGTAATTAGAGGTTAGGCGCATATACAAATCCGTGTGTTCCGGCATGCATACATACGCAGATGTAATTCTTATTTCAGTGTCGGGACCGTAACATTTTTATCTGTAGCGATGCTCATTTCAAAAGGGGAGAGAGTAAGGGGTGTTCATGACGCTTTTCAGATCTACCGTATGGGCCGTGAGAGAAACTCCCACGTAGACACACACACATACGTGTAGACGGGCACATACACTATTGTTAGTATGAGACGTTTCACAGCACTTTTGTTAAGTTTGGTTACAAATAGTAAGAATAAAAGCTAAAGGCATAAAATATAAAATAAACTGAGGGCTCAATGCCAAACTCCAAAAGATATATATATATATATATATATATATATATATATATATATATATATATATATATATATATAAAATTAATTGATTTAAAATATGTTTTTTTCGCTACACGTATATATATATATATATATATATATATATATATATATATATATATATATTTTAAAGATATTTTTGTAGGTACAAAATTTAATGAACGAAATAAAAGTATAAAATTTAATATTACAAGACATATTAAACAATAAAAAAATAAATAAAAAAAAAACACAACAACAGGGGGGAAGCAACCGGTTTCGCTCCCCTGCTCTTCAGGCTTCAACGGGAGATTCAAAATTAATACAGAAAAATGTACAATAGGAATAGGGAATATATATATATATATATATATATATATATATATATATATATATATATATATATATATATATAAAGTAAGAACAGTAAGATATATAATCCGGTGTTCTTATAGATATTTTTATTTTACAAAATAGTGCTCAATGTAAATTTACAGAGCATTAATATTCGAATTAGCTTGAGGATGAAATGGAACTAATGTCTTTAATTTAATTACAAAATTAAATTCGGAGCTTTTAGCTTCCATTTTTGAAACATGGTTAGAACTGTGTAGAAAAACCATATTTTAAAACAACTAATATATATATATATATATATATATATATATATATATATATATATATATATATATATATATATACAAATGAAAGAGGTTGTAGTGGTTCCAACGAGAGAATTGTATGTATATTAAAAAGAAGAGAAGAGAGGTGCCGCAAACCTTTTTGGTTGTAATGTGGATTTTTTTAGAAAAAATATTATGCCATATTTTCCATAATTTTACTACACGTGTTTCTGGTCTCGTGATCGTCTTCAGTTAAAAGCGGAGATTTCCACATATTATTAAAAATAATTAATTTTTCCTTTATGTTTTTCTATGTTAAATATTCTCGATATGAGACATTCTCTGTTTTTGTGTTAGTAATCCGAATGTCTTTCTTGAATATATATATATATTACTTTAGTATATATTAAAATTGAAACAGCTAAATATTTTCTTTACGTTGTAGTAGTTATTGATTCGGATTTTGTGATGTCATTTCCGGTAGCGTGCTGTTGGAAATGTGGAACGCGTTCCATAGGTTGCTGACTTCCGGTATAGCATGTCTTCGCCAAATTTTCTTTAAGATTTTCAATCATTCTGTTGACTTATTGTCGCTTGTAAGAAAGTATTCTATTTTTTAAAATCAGGGGTCGGCAACTTTTGCTGACTATGTACCTATTCAGGGTTTTAAAATCCTTCAGTGTGCCAACAGCATATGTATTTTTATACAAGTCAAGGTCAATATACCTGTCTATATTTCTGAGATGAGGTACTATGTACACTATGTATATTATTCGGACTATTGTCCTCATCTTTGTCGCCATATTTATTACTACGTTTCGGCCGTTGTACGCTCCGGCCTTCGTCACGCGCTTGGAATGACTTAAGACTGTGTGTACGCCATTCCATGCAGCTGCGGAAAGAAATGTAAAGGGGAGACAGGTCGTCCCCTTAAAGTAAGACTTCAAAAACACCAGAAAGCTGTTACACGAGGAAGTGAAAAAATCAGGCCTGGCTGACCACATATGGGTAGAGAAGGGAGATCACCGCCCTCCGTGGGATAAAA